GCGAATATAATGTAGTACTTAGCTTCTAAACAGACAAATTTCCCCATGGACTTAGTTGGAAGCTAAAAATCCAGAGAAATAGATTCACATTACATTTATGAGACGGTCATATGAGTAAAATTAAATGAATGATATGGCTCCTCTATATCGTCTGTATGTATAAGTAAGTAGGAGTTTGCTGTCAATATTATAACTTCGGCCCATCTGAAATATCTTAATCATGTGATTTTAAATGCTAAAATATCATGTAAGATTCATATGTCTGTCTTAGTTTACGGCAGACTTTCATATACCCAGTAATGCGTGAAGCTCATACTATTTCTATACTATTTCGGAAACCACCAGAACCAATAAAATGAGTATTGATGCTTTTAAGAACTGGGTGTTCCTGGGTTTAATATAAATAACTAATAAATGTGGATATCCTTTTTCCCTTTGCGTGACCTAACTTATCTATATTCAGACTTTGTTTTAGTCATTTTAACACTCATCTAATTATAAATGAGGCGCTCAGGGAGTGCCATCATAAAAACATAGTCAGTGTGTGTGAAAAGATACATCTTACTGGTTATTTACTGTGTGAATAACCAAGTGTGTATTGAGTATTTATTGCATTTGTGGATCTTAGGACATGGCAAATATCTCTGAAATGACATGTTTACATCTTTTATTAACACAAATTTATCAGAACTATATCAATGGCATATTTGAGATTTATATATTCCCCATTTTAGTTATTACCCAGCAATCATCACTCCTAAGAACCCTCTGCAAAGAAAGAATAATATGGAACAGTGCCTAAATTGATATTACACTCTTATTATAGTTTTCTGGTCGTGTTATTGTTACAGTTATGTTTTACCAGGTCGTACTTTTGCTAATTTACCATTAAAAATGTGCAGAACACATTCAAACACAGCTCGACAGATGCTTCAGTTTTGTAACTGTTTTCTCCGGGTGTCAATACTTGCTAGTGTCCATTAGCTACCTTTACAAAGCAGACAAAATGACAAATGTTGAGCCTTAAACCGTACTCTTTAAAAAAAAAAAAGGATTATGCAAGCCTGATCTTGTACACTATTTAAAACACATTTCTGAACTTGTAAATAAGCATTATTGCCCCTTTAAATGACCATTTGCAGGCTTTCTTCCTGTTTAGTTCAAGATCAAAGATTTCCCTGCCGTCCTTTGATTGATGTTCAGAAACTGCTGTGTGCTATGCTCTGTATCACAGTGAGTTGCTTAGGTTTGCGTTCCCTTTATCTCATTACTCAGACCGCTGCACATCCAGACAATATTTTCCAGAATAAAATAGCATGTAAGAATGGATTTGTCGTGTATTCTCTGTTGATGCAAACTATATCTGTAGCATGAAGTAGTACAAGCCTGTGTGTATGGATGCATTTTCTCCTTATAACAGCTCTTTTGGATTTTTTGGGGATTGGACAAACAGTGTTCATGGAAATGGTGTTTTCTAAGTTGTTTTTTTTTAAGTGGATTGCATTCAGTTGTGATTTAGTGTTGTGCTGAGTATCTACGCCATGGTTTAACAGCTATCACTGTGTATCTATGCAGCTCCTCAAAGTATGTTCTATCTGATTTTATGGCATTTGGAAATCAGTACACAAACAAAGGCTTTCATCATTGTCTCAACATTTTAGTGTATGGTAGTGATTATGATGCATTTAGGCAAAGCACGTCCATACTTCTGCACCGTATTACCTGCTTTTATTTTACTTTTTTCAAACTACGTTTGCATCTGCATCATTCTTGTTGTTTCTGTCTTTTTCATTGCAAATCAACTCTCCCACCCCCTCCTTTATCTATTTTTTTTATGTGAAGCCTCTCTCTTTTTCATTGCATCTTAGTTTCTTAGCTCTTCTCTCGGCCATTCGGTTCTTCACTCTCTCTCTCTCTATTTTCCTCTTTCTCTCTACTGTTTTGATAGTGATGCACTTATCAGACTGTCAATTCTAATCTTGTCTTGCCAGTGCTGTGCTGTCCGTTCAGAATTACTGCTACCCCCTCCTCCTCTCTCTCCCCCTCTCTTCACCTACCATCCCTTCCATCTCTTTCTCCCTCAGACAACAGAAATGCTGATGGGTTGAGCAAGTGAAGGCTGACACTGTAGTTCAATCTTTTGCTGAAACCTTTGGACAAAATATATCTCAAATCTGCTGCTCTGTACAGGACATGTGATCTTACCCAGCAGCAGCCATTTTCTGTAGAACGTTTTCTCATGTGTTTATGTGTATGTTTATATATATATTTGCCTTTGTATGATTCTGTGTGGTCATTTCATATGCAGTTTTGATTCAGACACATCGTTCGATAAAATTGCATCATGTCACGATACAGTGCATCTTACACAAAATAACCTGGGACTGAACAACATAAAATGTGTATCAGATTTTAGAATCGTAAAGCTTCACATTTTCACCATTTATGATCAACAGAAACCCATCATGGAGTATATTTACCACCCCCCCTCTGACAGTATAAAAAAATAGACCACAATGCATTGCAGCCACATGATATTGCATTATGAATAAGCAACATGATGATCCATTTTTCTCAACGGAGAACAACAGCTGTCTTGATCATTACTGTTCTCTGCACCTGTCTGAGAACAAACCTGAAAATAGGTTTGCTTTTGTTTTGTCCTAAAAATTTGTCCACCACCCACCCTTTAACATTTGCAAAGGCTGCAGCTCAAATAGTCGCGTTCAGTATGTCTTTGATCAGGGAAAGTATCCCTTGTTAAGATGTGTCCTCTTGAAATGAGAAAAGGTTTCATGCAATCCACATTTTTTTGTCTAAAAGAAAGTTTAAACACCAATAAGAAAGAAAAGTGTTATCATTTTTGTTTTTGCTGAGCTCCTCTCATTAATTTTTCAACTGGAGTCTTTCTGGCCCTTCAGATTCATTGAAATTTAATTTGCGTCTCTTGGCTCTATACTGTATGTACTGAATTTCATGAACACGATTCCCAACAATAATAGTGGAAAATGAAGGGAAAAAATGAGAAAGGACCCCTTATTTTATTGGCTGATTGCATGCTGCTGTGAGCTGTAGTCTGTCATTACTCTTCTCTTTGTGAGAATACATGAGAATTTTCCTGAAGATTATTTAGCCTTCTTTTCTTCCTGTTTTGTCCTTCGATTAGCTCTGCCGTCAGTTTATTCTATTTTCACTTCAAAGGCTTGGGTGGAACAGATGTCGTTTCAAATGCCTGTCTTCTGCCTCATTGCCTAAAAGTGATGGGTGATTATTTTTTAATGAAACCACATATACTTTCACACCCACACACACACGCATACACGAGAATGAATCTTACCTGTGAGCTGTGAAATAGACAACCAGCACTTTGCATAACCCAGAATGGAAACATTTGTTCATTTTTGCACACCACAGAAGCCTTTTTGAAGTTCCTCTTTAACTGCCAAATGCGCTCCTGGACTTTGAATTTTGATTAGTTCATTTGATGCTGTGTGAAATACAATGTGTTATTTGGCAATAGGCTGCTTAAACAATGTAATTTTTCTAAAGCAGCCAGTTCCTGTTTTCCAAGTGACAGTGAAGGAGGGAAACATGTTTATTCCTTAATCCCGTGATAAGCATGTATTCGATTGAAAGCAGTGTCTTTAAATGTCCTCTCGTTGCTGTTTTGATACCGACACAGAGGCCTGTTTTTTCCACGATTTGTCTGCAGTACTGCTGTGTTGAACACTTAAACCCTGGATCAGTGGATTAAGAAAGCAAACATGCAAAGATGTTTTAAACTTTCTCAGAGTCTACACAATAAGATAGAGACTTGGCCTTGGAAATTATGTTTCTTAGCCAAATACGACAGAAACTAAACATCATATCAGTCAGGGCTCCTAATAACATTAGACTCTCCATTACACCATAACCATACAGAGTGCACATTAACATCTTTCATTTGACGAAGTATCAATGTATGTCATTATATATTAAGCATATCATTATATCCTCAAGCATATGCATGGAAATTGGATTGTTTTGTTTTTTTGCTGCATTCATCGTGGCTAGAGAATCAAGTTAACTGATGCACCAACCATACTAATGGCAGCATCAAGCTGTCACTCTCCCTCTCCTTTCTGCTCCCTCTGTCTATATTGCATGTTAGTTCTCTCCTGAGCAAAGAAAGCAATTTCCATATAGAATCACACCCATGATCAGGTGACCTGGATTTGACTCCCAGTCAAAGTCCTACCTAGAAAATGAAAATGTGTTTCAGTGTATTGGACCATCACACAGATGGGCGCAGTTTTTCCTCGTAAAAATTTGAAGAGAGTGAAGTGTGTTGTTGCGACAAACTATCAGGGCTCCCACCATAAGAAATATGTATTTAATCCTGTTTTGGTTTCCTTTAAACATGTTATTGAATTTTTTATCCACAACATGAAAGAGAAGGAAAAAGGGAAAATCCATATCAATCTCAAAATATCCATGAAGTCAGTAATTTAACAACCAATAAAAAAACTAATGCGAAACCAAATGGAAGTGTACAAACTGAATTTGAATTTGTTCGGTTTTCCCCTTTCACCGAGCATATTTGTGATAATGAAATGAGCCTGTGTTAGTCACACCTTCTTAGTCACGACATAAAAAATGTGTGTGCTTTATTGTGGATGTACTTCTTCTTTGACCTCTTTGGGGTTTTGTTTTTGGAGAAAACTGATTTTATTGGAACCAGCTGTCATATTTGGGAGAAAAGCCTGTTCCAAATTAAGCAAAATGTTATTTCTGGTGACTTAATGAGAACATACATGATAAGCACAAACTTGTTTGTGTTTTGCACTGCAAAGAAAAGAGATTTTTATCCAGTCAATACATCATGCAAATAAATACACTGCTGTGTGACATACATTCCCCAAGCTTGTTTCTGTAGGAGCCGCAGCGAAAGACTATTAAGCGTTGATTTATGACCAATCCTCTCTGTCTCACCTCCTCTTCATGCCTCTTTATGTTTCCAGATAAGCAGTGAGAAGCGACCCTCAGCAGAAATGATGAAGCCCAAACCTAAACCTCAAAAGAAGAAGAAGAAGAAGGACCCCAACGAGCCACAGAAACCTGTGTCAGCATATGCGCTGTTTTTCAGAGACACCCAGGCTGCCATCAAAGGCCAAAACCCGAATGCTACATTTGGGGATGTCTCCAAAATTGTGGCCTCTATGTGGGACAGCCTAGGAGAGGAACAGAAACAGGTACAAAAATACACCATCTCACATATGTTAAGAACTGTTAAGTGCTGTAAGATTGTTGGGATGAAAAAAAATAGAGGGGATTTAAACATAAACATGTAAACAGCTGTAAATTACGCAGCACATCAGCTGTTGCAGATGGCTTTGACAACATGTCACTGTGGATTTAGGCCTTCTGCCCCTGTATGTAAAGCCAAACTGACTCAGTCATGTTGCAGAGGGACAAATCTGCATCACGACCACTTTGCATTGGGTCAAAATTAATTTGGACCATTCACAAACCTCCTCAGTAATATTGTGTGATGGATAAGAGTTTAAATAACTAAACCTCCAACATTTCTTAATCACTGCTCTTTATGTCCCCCTATTGAAAGTTTATGGGTCTTACAGGTTTTTACTGGCTTTGACATGGAAAGACTGTCATAGAAACAATCCAGGAATTGTGAAAAACAATAATTAAAGGAAAAGTAAGATTTAAACAAGGAATTATTTATGAATGTTTAGTGCTCACTTCATCAGGCAGATTTAACATGCATAAAATTTAGAAAATTTTCACCTTGCTGCCTTAATAGATCTGATTTATTCATGTACAAACTTATACTCAGACTCCACAGATCTAACACTTTTCAATTTTGAAAAGCTTCTTATAATTGCATATAGTGCCAGCTATGCGCCGATCAAATGTTTTACATACAGAGTTCTGAGACCGCTTTCACACTCCTCACACACTCACACATATATACTGTGTTTAAATGCAAATGGAAAACTGTAATACCTGCTCCGAGTGGATTTGTGCATAATTTCATAGTGGAAAAGACATTTTGTTAATATACAGAATGACTCATCACCATATCCAAAACAACCAGTGCATTTCCCCCTAAATGGGAATCGACAGAATCTTAAGCAAAACAAGTGCATTACAGTGTTACATCAGTAACAATCTCCATATTTTCAGTGGACTTATCTTAGCTGATATCAGAAACATATGTATGCTAGCAGCTTGCTGTCAAATGTGCTTTGTAAATTAATCATGATATTGTAACGGTATTGGCTTCAAAAGCAAAAACGATAAGATCTCTGATAAGACAAAAATACAAAATTTCAATTCTGCTAAACTCCCTTTACATTTGTGCATTTTATACTGTTTCAGAGTGATCTCTGCCAAATAACACAAATGTACACCCGTGATTTTTTGGGGGCGCATTGTGCTGCAGTCTTTGTCATTATCTGTTGTTTAATTACCAGAACATTGCTATGAGTAACAGCTCACCTTAATGAGCTAGTTTTTCTCTTTTCTATAGATAATCCATCCGTTTATCCCCAATCCCCTGGCTCTCATTAAAATGATCTTCTTTCTAAATTTAACTCTATCCAAATGAAGGAGGGGAAGAGTGGGGGAGTAGTTCTTTTAAACAACAGCTATAAAATAGTCTGAGACTGTCAAAGTAGGACATTTAACAAGCAAATAATGGCCAGTATGGGAAAAACATAGACATGCCGTTGGGGATTTTAGGAGATTATGAGTGTTACTTTTTTTGTTTGATCAATACACATGCTTTGTGCAGGTGTAAGTACAAACAATAAAATATGAAAATTCTCATAAATGTTACTCTTGCTCTGTTCTATCTTTTTTTAACAGGACAGTAGCCATTAAAACTAATCCAAAAATGTAGTGAAACGCATGTGAAAATCATATTTACCATAATAGATAGATAAGTAAAACGAATACAAAGCTATTGGCCAAGTGACTGTCCTATTTCCTCTGTCCCTCCAGTCTCTGTAGCTGATACCTCCCTGCCATGCATCTTCATTGGCCCTCTGTCATGCTAGGATGTGTGAATTTCTCATTTCCACTGTCTTTATTTATTTCTCTTGCCTTCTATTTTGATCCCCCCTTGAATACACAATTAGTGATCCCCCTCTACCATCATCTCATCCTTGGATTTAGCTGAAGGGCATGTTGGTTATTCAGAGGGGAGCAATCTATTGTTTTTGCTGCTATTTAATGTCATCTCCTGCTCTGCAGTAATAGGAAGGAATCACTAATGATGATGGAATTGTGGGAGGTCATGATGTGGGGTTTCATGGGTATTTAAGAACTCCTGTATGTTTTTCAGCTGAGTGCATTTTCAAATTATATATCTAATCGAGTTTATATAAATGCATCATTTTGCAAGAGTAGATACTAATTGTAACAAAAGATTGGCTAAAAACATTACAAAAACATATTTTTCACCATATTTCTGCCATTTAGATTATAGGGAGACACTAAAAGATTATAGATTATACTTATCACTCTTACACATAATGGCTATGTTTTCTGTTCTTCCATCACATCTAGTACACTTATCTTTATGTGCATTGGAAAAAAAATATCCCTGCACACAAAGCACATGGTAACGTGCAGGCACTGATAAATGCATAGGATTCATAAAAGCACTCTGAGGTCATTGAAAACACAATGGCGTGTATTTATATGACAACAGTGGTCTGTACATCCAAAGCACAAAATGGAAAGTAGTCAAAGTCATACAGAAGAATCCTAATATACCAAATGACAACAGCCACTTTGGTTTACCACTGATGCTAGTGTACTGAAAGTGTTATTGTGGAGCCGAAGAGGCGAGAGAGATAGAACAAGGAGTTCCAGTTCATTTCTTTAGGTGGATTGGAATGGAAATGATGTGTTGCCGCAATAGAGGAAGAAACATTGAGATGAGGGAGTATTAGTGCTGTGATGAGGAAATAGAGGTGTTCTGTACCATTGGTTCTGATGGAAAGGGAACCATTACAGATATGTCTGTGTGCATGCCTGTGTGTGTATGCCCATGTGTGCAGAATATGTTTAAGAAAGTCTTACAATGAGCTAAAAAGCTTACATGTGTGTTTGGGGAATGTGTGTCTGTATGTTTATCACCATGTCAACCTCTCCTCTCACCCAAAGCCTCTTGTTTTGACTTTTTTTTCCTCTTCTTTACAGGGCTACAAGAGGAAAACCGAGGCAGCTAAGAAAGAGTACCTGAAAGCCTTGGCCGCGTACCGAGCCAGTCTGGTTTCCAAGGTAACGCTTATGACACAGGCCCGAGCAAAGACTGATGATGGATTGGATAGAAAATCCTTTGCTAATGGGCTGGGAGGGGCCTCTGTTAGATGAGACAGTAGAGGTAGAGAGGGTGGGGGCATCTCATGCAAAAAAAAAAAGAAAAAAAAAGAGCAGACTACATTTCAGAACAATACCTGATTTCCATAGGGTGCAGACTGGGGGTTGAGATTTGTAGTTAGCATGGCGATATAGGGAAGGGGGGAGGGGGTCGCCCTGTCAGAGCACACAAGTATATGGCCATATCAATGATGTGGGGCAGTAATAGAGAGGACTCGCTTTTTCATGTGCTACACATTCTGTAAGATGAATCCGTTTCAGAAAACAGAAATCTTCCGCTCATCTAACACCGACCGACACCTGTGTCGTGCATTAGATCATCGATTTCCTCCCCTCATCATCTGCAACAGGAAGTACATCAAAATCAACACAGGCAATCATTGGCTTGTTGCTGTTTCCACCTCTGACAGTTTCCTGCTAATTCAGATCTACGACATCCTTTTTGCCCTGTGAATGATGGGATTTTTATATACACCAGGATAGAAGCATAGGGGGGAAAGAAAACCAAGGAGGAAGTCTGTGGAATGCATTGTTTAGTGCCTCTTTGTATTAACAACACACAATGTAGTGTGGGGAAGATTCCTTTTGTCATTCCATTTGTTCTGCAGGCAAACAGGCTCATTTCTCTGCCTAGAGTCCTGCATATATGTATGTGCACGTGTGTGTAGGTGTGTATGCATGCGCGTGTGTGTGTGTGAATGCATGCGCGTGTGGGTCTCTCTCTTTTCCCCATCTATATGTCAAGGTGTCTATTGATCATTACCTCGTCCCCTGCTCTATTCATACAAATGGGCTCCATTACCTTCTAATCAACACTGATGGCTGGAGATGAGCAATCTGACAGCTCATCACAGAGCCCAGGAGAGGGTGGAGGTGGTGATGGGGTATCCGTGGGCGTTGCACCTGCTCACTGTCCAGACAGGGGGAGGTTAAGTTTGTAAGGATTTTGGTTGAGTTTGGTGTTTTCCTCAAAGCATTGCAAGCCATTTAAATCTCTTCCCTGTTTCACCTTATGCTAATCTCACAGCATTTCTGTGTGAAGAAGCGCAAAAGTGAGCACTGAGAGCTTTCAGGCTAAGACACATTTTAAAAGTTTGAATGTGCTGAAATTTGACTTTTGCTGTTTCGAGTCTTTGCTCAAACTGCTCTGGGCAACTGTCCTGGGGAAAATAAATTGAAGTAATGCATCTAAATTGGAGCAGCGAAAGAACGCTGGTGATGAGATGTAAAACAGGAAAAACATCTGTTTTATTTTCAGTTCTGCCTTTTTTGGGTGCTTTTTTATTATGTCTATTATAACTGATTTAGTCTTGCATGGAAGGGCTTGGTTGACAAGAACTTGGCAGGGCCTCCAGTATGAATCTCTACTAGAATCACTGGATACAGCTTGAATGTGTATGTCAGTGCTTTCTACTAAATCCACAATAAAGCTGGTCAACATGAAATAATCAGTCACCACATTAAAACTGCCCCCGTGAGCCGACAGAACTGCTCTAACCGATCAGCTCATGATGGTTGAGATGGGAATCCATGGATTTTAAGGAGTTAGATCAATACTTTGGGCCCTTTGTCATCAATTTCAAGATGTCAGTGAGCAGTTTTTTTCTTTGTAGCAAAGTGGGCACATTGTCCTCCTGGTGGAAGATGCTGCCACTGGGACAGCATGTTGCTAAAGTGTTTCTTTAATGTTTCTCTCTTAGCAGTAACAATTTAACCAATGTCACCTTTTTTGCTCAAGTTCTCATTGAATCCGCTAATTCCGTCTATGATTTATTTCTTTAGCCATGTTACATCCAACACCAGAAAATGCCCTGAACAAAAGAAAAGGCTTTACATGTTCACTGCAGACGAAACCCATGACATTTAACCTGTATGCGGTTAAAGATGATTAAAATGACAAAAGACATCTTTAAAAGAACTTTAAACACTCTCAAACAACCCCATGCTGTGGTCTTGATGTGTAACAATGATGAATAGATGATGCATGTCAAAGTAACATCTAAAGCTAGGACCCAGGGTGTCTCAACAGAACACTGCATTGTAAAGAGATGATCAATGTTATCGACTTCTCCCTGCAGATTGTTGCGTTTTCAAAACCATCCCAGTCCAACAAAAGGGAAAGACAGCAAATAGTCCTCGGGATTGCAGGAAATCTAAGCAGCTCATAAATAGGCCTCTGCTGGTTCCTGACTGAGGCAGTTGTACAATAGGTCCAGGTTGACAGTTAGCATTTCCTCAAAAAGGCTTTATTTTGAATTGATATTGATATTATGCTAAAAGTTTTTGAGTTTCATGATGAAATGAATTCATTCATTGTATTCTTCGTTGTTGTCTGTTTTTTTTTTCTCAATCCACAGACTTACAATGACCCTGAACCAAAAAGTGCCCAGCAGACCAGTCAACCCTCCCACCTGCTGCCCCCGAAGCAGCCCCTGTACAGCATGCCCCCTCAGTCCTCTTCACCCTACTTGGGCCCACCAGGGTCCTTTCCTCTGTCAGAGCTCCAGAGCTACGGCGGGCCACCCCGCCACACTCTGGCCCAGACCCTCAGCCAGCCTCAGATGCTCCCACCCAGCATGAGTGCCTCTCCCCCAGCACCCTTTCAGATCAGCCCGCCTCTGCACCCGCACGCACAGCTCTCCCTGAACCAGAGCTCCCTGCTCAACCAGCCAATCCGCATGCAGCAGTCACAGCCAATCATCTCGCACCAAATGGGGCTCCAGCCGTCTCTGCACTCCCCTCCTCTCAGCCAACAGGTTAGTGTGACGTTTATTAGTCCAAAATATGTACATCTCAAATGGGTAATGCGTTAAAGAAATGTACTGAAATGGGAAAAATATCATCATTACCAGTTTTTACTTACTGATCAGTTTTAATTGTTGTGTAACATATACCACACCCCGAAAAGAACTTTTAATATGCTTTATTTTAGAAGCCAACAACATGCAGTTGTTGGCATCTTTTTGTTTCCTTGATCCCATTTCCCTTTCTGTTTGTATAAAAGGTCTCAATCGCTCTTTTAACACATAAATGACTTTCCATTTAGGGACAAACCAACTATTTTCTCCAGTCTTTGAGTCAGTAAAGTGTAAGGCAGTAGGGTGTCGTTTCGGAGGAAGATGTGTGATTTGGAGAACCATTTTAAACAAGCAACAAAAGCAAATAGAGAGATAAATAAATGTTTTCTACGCTCAGCAGAAACTGATCCAGACAGCTGACACTATTTGGCCTCATAGAGCATTATGGCTCAGCACACTCTAATAGCTGGCCATCACAGAGCTCAGATGATATAACCTCTTTTCCTACTGCACCTTTTCTCCTCTGATCTGTAGGGATTCTCCCATCTTCAGGCTGATTACCAGAACAGCGTGGGGGGCTCACAGTCTCCAGGGGCCCCCAATCCGGTGCATGGCCAGAACCCCGACTGGGATAGCGAGTACTGCAACAGGGACTGTAGACCCAACCATTGCGGGTGAGCTCATCCCATCAGTTGTCATAGACTTTTGAGTTAATTTTTTTTTTTTAAAAACAACAAGATGATGAAGCAGCTCAGTCGCTATTTAAGTGTAATTCTGGATGTTTGATAGCTGGGAATACTAAATAGCTTTGTGACACTTCTTTTCCAAGTGAGTTAGTCACTAAACCACTTCACACTCAAAGACTTAGACAGTATTAATCATAAACTGTAATTTCCCTGCCAAAGCAAAGCATCTCCTTGAAATTGAAATGAGTAATGCAGCACCAGAACAATGCTATTACAGATTTTGGGAAAAGTGTGACATCCAATTAAGCTTGAGCATGTTTTGCTCCACACACATTGCCTTATTGAATCAAGCTATTCAAGCGGGCACGAGAAGAATGTTTTGTCTCACACCTGAACTCTGTCTGTATTAGGAAGGCAGCTGAGCTGGAAGCCAGTTGTCTCCTTTATTTAGAGCTGATTCATCTGTATGCCAAATGGGATCACGCATGGGTCAAATCCTGTTTGGCGCTCTTTGAAGTGGATTGAGTCTTTACTTCACCTTATGTCTCAGATCATTGTAGTTTAGAGTTTTGGAAAGTGCTCAATTGTTTTCTTGTGTGTCGGTAAAGATAACCGGAGATTGGATTTCAAATCTGATATTTCAAGTGCCAAGAGATCTTCAGATTTTGATTTTAGGTTTACTGATGTTTGTCAACAGCTTGTTTGTCTGTTTCGGTGCTGTTTTCTAAGCTAGACCTTCATTAAAAAGATCTCCATGCCAAATATGGGGCGAACAGATATAGAGTGAGTGTATTCTCTATTTGCATGTGTCCATACGTGTGTTAATGCTGCTTTTCTGCTCGTCTTCCTCAGCAGTGGCATGTGAGCTCGAGACAAGCCTCTCTACCTCACTTGAAGTTGAAAGACCTCCACATGTCAGACTCCAGGGAGCATTCAAAAATAACAACAGCATCATCGATATACCTGCTTTTAAACCATTTTGATTTTCTTTTTTTTTCTTTTTTTCTTCTTCTTTTTTTTTTTTACGGATTTTGAAAATCCCAAAGACTGCTGTGGTAACTTCCCCTTTTTGCCAAGCACTTAGATCGACCAGAAGCCTGAAGCACCTCCCTTCTCTCTTTTTTTTCTAATTAGTGACCTTTTTTGGAGGAGGCAGCGAGCTATAAGCTCACGTCAGCATACTGGAAATGAAGACCAAAAAATGTCTTCTCATTGTGTGTTTTTTTTATTAAGAGGATTTCTCTTTATTCCATAACTGTGTTTTTGCCACTGACTACCCTTCTTAGGGAGATAAATGCTCAAAGCATACTCGAAAGTATAGAGGTCTTGGATAGAAGTTCTAATGCAGGAAACCAGATATAGTCACCTCATCAGGGGTGGATGTACTTCGGGACAGACTGAAACCCCCCCTGACTGACGGAAAGCAAAGCAACATTTTAATGAAAGTATAGTCATGAACACATAAGACATTTGTAAGTCTTTTTTTTCTTAGTAAAGGACTCCCTCTCTTTCATTTATTTATCACAGAGTGATTGTAAATCGGTCTCGCCTCGACACACAGCTCTGGCTCTGGAACCAGCCTTCTCGAGAGGGGTTGGACGCTCTGCTACTCTGGAGTTGCCCCCGGTGAGAGGCGCCGAGCAGGAGTGGGCATACTCATTGCCCCCCATCTCGGTGCCTGTACGTTGGGGTTTACCCCGGTGAGCGAGAGGGTAGCATCCCTTCGCCTTCGGGTGGGGGGACGGGTCCTGACTGTCGTTTGTGCCTATGCGCCTAGCGGCAGCACAGAGTACCCACCCTTTTTGGAGTCTTTAGAGGGGGTACTGGAGGGTGCCCCCCCTGGGGACTCCCTCGTTTTGCTGGGGGACTTCAACGCTCACGTGGGCAACGACAGTGAGACCTGGAGGGGCGTGGTTGGGAGGAATGGCCCCCCCAGCTTGAACCCGAGCGGTGTTCTGTTTTTGGACTTCTGTGCTCGGCACGGATTGTCCATAACGAACACCATGTTCAAACATAAGAGTGTCCATATGTGCACTTGGCACCAGGACACTCTAGGCCGCAGCTCAATGATCGACTTCGTTGTCGTTTCAGCTGATCTGCGGCCGCATGTTTTGGACACTCGGGTCAAGAGGGGGGCGGAGCTTTCCACCGACCACTACCTGGTGGTGAGTTGGCTCCGATGGCGGGGGAGGATGCCGGTGAGACCCGGGAGGCCCAAACGTGTTGTGAGGGTCTGCTGGGAGCGCCTGGCGGAGTCCCCTGTTAGGCGGAGCTTTAACTCCCACCTCCGGGAGAGCTTCGAACACGTTCCGGGGGAGGCGGGGGACATTGAGTCCGAGTGGGCCGTGTTCCGCGCCTCCATCAATGACGCGGCCTCCCAGAGCTGCGGTCGCAGGGCTGTCGGTGCCTGTCGTGGCGGCAACCCTCGAACCCGCTGGTGGACACCGGCGGTGAGGGATGCCGTCAGGCTGAAGAAGGAGTCCTATCGGGCCTTTTTGGCCTGTGGGACTCCGGAGGCAGCCGATGGGTACCGGCAGTCCAAGCGACGTGCGGCTCGGGTGGTCGCCGAGGCAAAAACCCGGGCGTGGGAGGAGTTTGGGGAGGCCATGGAAAAAGACTTCCGTACGGCCTCGAGGCGATTCTGGTCCACCATCCGGCGTCTCAGGGGGGGGGAAGCAGTGCCCCACCAACACTGTTTACAGTGGGGATGGTGTGCTGTTGACCTCAACACGTGACGTTGTGGGTCGGTGGGCGGAGTACTTCGAGGACCTCCTCAATCCCACTGGCGCGTCCTCCGTTGGAGGGGCAGAGCCTGGGGATCCGGAGCTGGAATCTCTAATCTCCGGGGCTGAAGTCACCGAGGCAGTCAAAAAGCTCCGCGGTGGCAGGGCCCCGGGGGTGGATGAGATTCGGCCGGAGTTCCTCAAGGCTTTGGATGTTGTGGGGCTGCGTTGGCTAACGAGACTCTGCAACATCGCGTGGACATCAGGGGCAGTCCCGCTGGATTGGCAGACTGGGGTGGTGGTCCCCCTATTTAAAAAGGGGGACCGAAGGGTGTGTTCCAACTATAGGGGGATCACACTCTTAAGCCTCCCTGGGAAGGTCTATTCAGCGGTTCTGGAGAGGAGGGTCCGTCGGATAGTCGAGCCTCGGATCGAGGAGGAGCAGGGTGGTTTTCGTCCTGGCCGTGGAACGCTGGACCAGCTCTATACCCTCAGCGGGGTCCTAGAGGGTGCATGGGAGTTCGCTCAACCAGTCCACATGTGTTTTGTGGACTTGGAGAAGGCGTTCGACCGTGTCCCTCGGGGTATCCTGTGGGGGGTGCTCCGGGAGTATGGGGTACCTGGCCCTTTGTTACGGGCTGTTCGGTCCCTGTACGACCGGAGTCAGAGTTTGGTTCGCATTGCCGGTAGTAAGTCGGACTCGTTTCCGGTGGGAGTTGGACTCCGCCAAGGTTGCCCTATGTCTCCGGTCCTGTTCATAACTTTTATGGACAGGATTTCTAGGCGCAGCCGAGGTGTTGAGGGTGTCAGTCTTGGTGGCCTTAGGGTCGCATCTCTGCTTTTTG